TGATTTTAATTTTTTAAATATTTTTATTGAGATCTAATCACATACCATAAAATGTACCCTCTTAAAATGTATAATTCAGTGGTCTTTGAATATTCACAGAGTTATGCAATGATCACCACCAAATTTAGGACAGTTTCATCACTCCAAAAAAGAAACCCTGTTCATTAGCAGTTGGTCCCTATCACCTCACCATGTCTCAGACCTAGGCACTCATTTATCTATTTTCTAGATTTGGTTTTTCTTGACATTTTATATAAATGAAACCATATAATATGTGGCTTTTTGTGTGACTGGCTTCTTTCATTTAACGTATGTTTTTCAAGTTTCACTCATGTTTTATCATGTATCTGTACATCCTCCCCTTTTGTCGCTAAATAATATTATCCTGTATGGACATGCTATATTTGATCTATTTATCAGTTGAGCATTTGTAGTATTTCTACTTTTTGGCTGCAATGAATATTTGTATACAAGTTTTTATGTAGATGCATGATTTTATTTCTCTTGGGTATATAACTAGATTGGAATACTGGGTTATATGGTAACTGTGTTTAACCTTTTGAGGAACTGCCAACTGTTTATCAAAGGATTGTAATGTCAGTTTGATGAGCATTAAATAATTTCACTGAATTTGTAATGCATACTTCCTCACTGAATTTGAGGTTTTCTACTCTCATTCACTGGCCATTTCATTTATTTCTAAATGGATTTTCATCATTTTTGTATCTTTTTTCTACTAAATTTTGTTTGCCTTTTATAAACTTCTGAGAGTCCTCTGAATATTACAGATATTAAGGAATTTTCTGTTGTCTTCTTTATAAACGTATTTGTCTTGATTCTAGCATTTGTCTTTTAACTTTGTGGAACCTTGTGTCATAGAAAATATTCCATGTTTCTGGAGCTAAATATATCTTCAGAGTTTTAGTGTTCATTAAGAAGTTCTTGTCTGGTGGGGCGTGGTGGCTCATGCTTGTAATCCCAGCACTTTGGGAGGCGGATGCAGGCGGATCACAAGGTCAAGAGATAGAGACCATTGTGGCCAACATGGTAAAACCCCATCTCTACTAAAAAAATACAAAAATTAGCTGGGTATGGTGGTGCATGCTGTCATCCCAGCTACTCAGGAGGCGGAGACAGTAGAATCACCTGAGCCCAGGAGGTGGAGGTTGCAGTGAGCCAAGATGGCGCCACTGAACTCCAAAGCTCTGTCTCCCAAAAAAAAAAAAGTTCTTCTTTACTTCCAGATTATACATGCAGTTGCCTATATGTTCTTATAAGATTTTTGATTTTTTATTTATTTTACGTTGTCTTTATGAAAAAAATTTACATTGTACCTAGTATGAAATAGATGCTTATCTGCTTTTCTACTGAAATAAAAAGATATTTATCATATATTAAATTATCAAATATAATAAAAAATTTTTCTGGATTTGCTAGGATTCTTGTGTGTTTTAAGCAACAGGTCAGGACTACCTGTTGCTTATAAGATCAGTTTACTAGGCTTTAGCATTTTTTTAAAAAATGTAAAATAGGATAAGAAAATAGAGTATATCATATGTAATAAGGATACATGTGTCATAAAAAATTTTATTTCTATCTTTTAACATACACAAACATACACATTTAAGGTCATTATGCATATAAAATCTTATCATGAATTAGAATTCATAAAGTTTGAAATTCATTCCTCCACATTTCAAATTCATTCCATTGATCCTCTTGTTTATTTCTTTGTCCATACAATATTTATCTGATTATAGTTGCTTTAGGCATATTATGATATCCAGTAAAACAAGTGCCTCTCTTACATACTTTCTTTGTTTATTCTTGAACATTTGTTTTTCCACATAAAGCACGTGGTTATTTTTTCCTAACATTAAAAAAGGAAAACTTGTTTCTAATTAGAATTGCTAATTTGAGAGAATTTACACTTATACTTTCAGCATTTTGTTTCTCTTTCACCATCAGGTATTTGGTATAATCTTTCTGTTTCTGAAACATAGAACATTTATGGTTCTTATTGTGCAGCTCTATGGTTTACTTGTCAAATCCAACTGTAATTATTTTATAGTTCTCATCACTGTTGTGACAGAAAAATTTTTCCATTTCCATTTCTGTGTGTTTACTGCAAATACAGAGAAGTTATCAATTTTATTTAGCTTATATTTGGCTATCTCTTCACATTCTCTTATTAATTTTATTGTTTATATATAATCATATTTTCTAGGATGGCTAAGAAAATGGTAAATAATTTGACAGTATAAAATGGTAGTAGTGAGAATCCTACCTCCTGATTGTAAAAAGCAGTTTAAATATCATACACAAGAAATGAATTACTCAAATGACTGATGCTCATTCCTCTCTCTTCTATCTCTCAAGTTCCTCCTTCTATTTCAGCATCTGTTCCTGCTTTGAAAGCCTCCATCTCTCCTGCAGCTTCTAAACTGTGCTACTAGTGAGAGTCCCTGGCTTCTGGTGCCTGGGTTATAGTGAAAAGAGGTGGTCCTGCCTTTCAAGGTACCATTAAAAATACATACCTATCAATTTAGATAGATGTGTATATATATATATATATATATATATATATATATATATATATATATGGTACAAGGCAAGATGCTAAAAGAAATATCAAGAAACTGAAAATGTCAGAAAGATGATAAAATAGGATATACAAAACGTAAAAGTGGGTTAACTTCATTTTAAATAGAAATGACATGTGCTCCAAAACAGATGTAGGTAAAGTATAATACAAGATTATTTCTCATGAAAATAGTTACAGGGGGAGATTATATACTATAATAATGCTATAATTTAGATATAGATCAAAAAGGTTTTGTGAAACTAGCTGAACCTAATTATCTCATGTATTACTATTCTCTTAGGAAAAAAGTTGCATTCACTTATTGAGACAGGGTCTCACTCTGTCACGCAGACTGGAGTGCAATGCCACAATCTCAGCTCACTGCAGCCTCAATCTGGATCCCAGGCCCAGGAGATATTCCCACCTCAGCCTCCTGAGTAGGTGGTACTACAGGCAGGAACCACTAAGCCAGGCTAATTTTCTGTATTTCTTGTATACATGGGGTTTTGCCATGTTGCCAGGCTGGTCTTGAACTCCTGGGCTCAAATGATCTGCCTGACTTGGCCTCCCAAAGGGTTGGGATTACAGGCGTGAGCTACCACATGACTGGCCAAAATTCGCTTTTAAATAATGGACTTATCAGTTAATTTCTGGCAACATAACTCATATGTTTCTTAAAGACTAGTTGGACAGGCTAATGGTAACAGTCCCTAAGTTGTAGTACTGTCAAAAAAGGAAAATAACTAAAGGAATAAATGAAGAGTCTGCTATTAACAATGACCTGTCTGTCCTGACTACTCTTTGAGAACAGAATTCATTTTATTCAATAAAAATAAAAATAAGATACACAAATTCCTATTGTACAAAATTTCTTAAAGATAGATGTTTAGTAAAATCAAGTGCTACTGAATTTTAATATAATGTTTGTAATTCAGTGTTAAAATTAACACAGTCTCTTGTACTGCCAAAAAAAAGTTCACAATCTAAAATTTTCACCAGGGTAAAAAATTTTTATATTGGAATTCACACCATGTATAATAGCAAAATCAGCTGTTACATAAACCAGGTAGTTTATTGGTTCATTCATGCTATAAAAATATTACTGACATTTCATCTGGTCAACCATCTAAAAGGTTAATTCTTATTTCCTCTTTCAGATTTTATTCTAGGTGAACTGTTCTGGGCAGATTCTATTTACCTATTCTGAGCAAACCACAAACTGTTTCATTGCTCACTCTTACTGTTAAGAACATATTGACTTGCTGCCTGCTCTGCTGTTTAATTCATTTATGCTGAGAGTCAGGCATGAAGACAGAATTTTAAATGTGACATTTGCAGACTGTTAGGTCATTTAAGCTCTGACAACACTAGGGAATTCCTGACATATAAACTGGACCTGATTACCAAGCACAGATGAGCTTCCCAAAGGAGCAAATTTTTTGTCATTTTTTGTAATTTCTCACAGAATTGCAATACTAAATTTTAATGTCAATGAAAAATATATATAGCTAACATTTTAAAGTAAAAGCCTCTGTTTCTTTTAATAAAGTTCAAACTGGCACTTCTAACCAATACATATCAGCTACATCAAAATTATTTTGATTGAAAAAGGCGTATGCAAAGACTCACAATCACAATCATAACAATTCTGAGAAACTCAGAATTTAAGGGCTTTTAATATTTACTACAATATGTAAGGCTCTGCAAACTCTGCCATTTAAGGGCTTTTAATATTTACTACAATATGTAAGGCTCTGCAAACTCTGCTAAGTCTAAAGGCTATAACTCTAGTCAACAGACCATTTAAAATCATTAGATTCTGGTCTAGCAGGGCAGAGGTTATATGCTGTCAAATTATAGTACAAAGTTTAAGCTTACATATTTACAACACCACCTTCTCAAAGATTATAGTTATGTAGAAAGGATGACAGAATCATTACAATTGGAAATGAACAAATTGCCCACATGACACGCAGAATTACACTTTACAAGGGTTGATAATGGGGTGGGGTAAAGGATGTAGAGCAAGATTGTTTTCTCTTTTTAGTGACTCCAAAAAATTACACCCAATGATATTTTTGCAGCGCTTTTTCCTTGTCACTAAGTACTATAAACAATGGGTCAAATGAAAGTTTCCTGAAATTAAATATTGTAATTAAATAATACACACAAGATAATCCTTATTTTATCCGATATTTTATGTAAGTAAGAATTCTAGAGTTAAACAGCAAGTAGCCTTTTAATACTGTGCTTTGAATGGGACTTTCAACTATAATAGGGGTAGTCTAAATAGGGATAGACAGCCCAGAATGCCTTTTAACTATAGCACATTGATTCTGAAAAACCTAACAAAAGCAATTACTTTTCAGAGATTAAAAATCTTGTTTCTTTCAAAAGAATAAAATGAAATGCAAACCTGGTGTATTATCTGAGCTACAGGAAGTTGTTCAGCATATTTCAGAGGTTCCATTAGTTCCTCATCCATCTGGTCTTCCTTATAGCTGAAAAAAGAATTTAAAAACATAAAGCTAAGGTGAATACTATTTTGAAATATGACAAATATTTAAATATGTCAAATATAAAATATATTAAAATGCATATATGTAAGTTTTTGAAATCATCAGTATTTATCAATAATCTTTGAAAAATTACCACTGAAAAATTGTTAATGACTATAAAGGTATTCAGATTTATTAAATAACTATGCAATAAAATTAGCTAACCTTATTTAATGGTCTCAGTTCCTATCTTTCTCTCTGAGACAAAAATGTTTCAGGACTCTGTTCAAAAGAGGGTGTTTCTTTCATAAAGGTCTCCAAAACCTGGCTCCAACCAAACTCAAGCCTCATCTCTAGTAACTCTTTCTCTACTTAACAGTCTATTGCTTTAGTTATATTTAACTATTGGCCACACCCTATTGGGCCTTGCACCTCCGGAAGTCTTTACTTTCCCCATGCTGTTATATCTGTTTGGAACAACCACCAATTCTTATTTATTATTCTTCTTAATATATTAATTTTATAGCCATCTAGGTATATTATTTTTACTTCCTTGAAGATGAAAACCATGTCTTCTTCTTCTTTATATATCTAATACTTATCAAAAAGACTCAAATGTTTGTTGACTGAATCATGAATATATAAATAAAATGAAATAAAAACAATCCTGAGAGGTTATTTTATATAGAAAAGATTTCTAATATCTGCATGTACAATGAGATACAAAGTTGATATAATACATACCTAGTATAATATGAAACAGTAAATTAAAACTTTTCAAATGAAGAAAACGTGGCATAATGATTTTTAAAATGATTGACCCTCTTAGAAATGTAATAACCTAACTTGTACTAGCTTAACTGACTCCATCTTAGCTACAAACCTGACAAGCTCTCTCGAGCCTCTCCCTCCCTGCCGCAGTCCATCAGGTGCATTACTGGGTCACGCTGCACTCAAAGCCTTGAACCGTTAAGAGTGGTTCACACTGTTCACAGTACCTGTGACCATATCCTGCTTGGCGAGCCCACCTGCTACTGTGAAAAACTCCCCTTTGATCATTGTGTAGAAAGTACCTCAACATCCCCCTTAGTGATTATATGGAAAGCTCCCCCTGCTACCTACCTTAATGCCTCCTACTAACTTGCTCTTTCCGATTGTGTAAAATTCTGCTTCAGCTAGGCTCCTCCTATCTAAATCAAGGTATAAAGGGAATTTCCTTGGGGCAGAGAGATTTTGAGCATGAACAGATTCTTGGTCACCGGCTAATAAAGGACTCTTAATTTGGAACTCAGAGTGTGGCGCATTCCTTCTGACTCGCTCAGTTACAACAGAAATAGCAAATAAACATTTGATTTCAAGACAATAAAACCTTAAAACATTTAAACTTTCTTTTACCTTTTTTTCTATGAATTATACATGAACTTATCAACTTAAAAATTACTAAACTTTACTTATCTTGAAAAATAAATGAAACAAGATTGGCTAAGTATCTAGGGCTTCAGTTAAGGAATCTAATGAGAACTCTGGAATCTCTCCCAAGAAAAAGGCAGATATAGAAAAAAAGACAAAATTGTGCATATGATTTAAGAGCTTCTTAAAGCTCTTATCTAGGTAAAAGTTTGTGGATATTTTGCAGAATTTGCATAAAAATAACTATCTTAATTTGAGAGAACTTTGAAGATTCTCACTAACGATGGAAAAAAACTGCCTCAAAACATGTTTCACAGAGACAGAAAGTAGAATGGGGGCTGCCAGGAGCTGGGAGGAGGAGACTCTGGGAAGCAATTGTTTAACAGGTAGAGTTTCGGTTCACGAGACGAAAAAAGTTCTGGAGATGGATGGGGGTGGTGATAGGTACACAATAATGTATATTTGATGCCACTGAAGTGCATAATTAAAAATAATTAAAATGGTACATTTTATGTTACGTATTTGCTATAGTCTGAACTGTGCCCTTCAACAAACCCCAAAATTCACATTTTGAAGCCTAACCACCAGTACCTCAGAATGTGACTGCATCTGTAGACAGTGTCTTTAAAGTAGTAATTATCTTACTAATTACTAATAGAGTCAACCCTATTGACCCTAGTCAAATATGGCTGGTATCTTATAAGAGGAGGAGAGTAGGACACCAAGACAGTAAAAACCACATGAAGACACTAGAGGAAAATGGCCATCTACATGTCAAGGAGAGAAAACTTAGAAAAAAAATCAATCCTGCTGACATCATCTAGCCTCCAGACTGTGAGGAAACACATTTATGTTGTTTAAGCCATCCAGTCTCTGATATTTTGTTATGGCAACCCTAGTAAACTAATACCTATTAGTACTAGGTATTTTTTACCTCAATTAAAAAATAAATATTGACCAAAAAAATCCAAGTTGCTTTAAAGCATTTCTCATCATTATCTTCTAAAAGTTTATTCACATTATATATAAAAAACACACACAGGCCGGGTGCAATGTCTCACCCCTGCAATCCTGGCACTATAGGAGGCCAAGGCAGGTGGATCGTTTGAGGTCAGGAGTTCGAGACCAGTCTGGCCAACATGGTGAAACCCTGTCTCTACTAAAAATAAAAAAATTAGCTGGGTATGGTGGTGCGTGCCAGTAGTCCCAGCTACTCGGGAGGCTTGAGGCAGAATTGCTTGTGAAACTGCAAGGTGGAAGTTGCAGTGAGCCGAGATCACATCACTGCACTCCAACTTGGGCGAGAGAACAAGAATCCATCTTGGAGGGGGGTGGAAACACACACACACACACACACACACACACACACAGCAACAAAAGAAAAAAATAGACAAACTGTAAGGACATCAACAAATTTTAAAATGTTTTTGTTTCAAAGGACAGAATCAAGAGAGCAAAAAAAAAAAAAAAAAAGTCTGCAGAATGGGAGAAAACTTTTGTAAATCATACAACCAAAAAGAGATTTCTATTAAGAATATATAAATACAACTCAAGAATAAAAAAGCAAATAACTCAGTATTTTTTCCTTCCTCATCAAGGACATTCTTAAGGATAAATGATGTATCTTTGTTTCTTTTCTACTGTGGTCAATGGTGGGAAGAATACAGTGACCCCTTATGCAGTTTGTTTCCACTGCCTCAATTCCTGTTAAGGCATGAGCAATTTTAATAAATATCTGCTGAAAAAATAAAAATTAAATCACTGACATTAATACTAAAAGTATAAAACAAATATGAAAAAATCACTCTTCATTGGTTATTCCAAAAATCTATAATAACAATGTCTAAGATAAAATACATTTTTTTCTCACAAAATGTCTCTCAGTCAATATAAAAGATACTCTTTAGGTATATAGAATTATTTGAAATCTGGCAATTTGCTTTGAATAACTTTTTTAAATGCCATGTAGCTGTTATGAAAAATTCCAAACATGTCTGTATCTTTTTTCTATTATTTTCACTAGATCACTTGAAAGTGAGCTGCAGATATCATGACAGTTCACATCTAAATGTTTCAGCAAAATATTTATCAACCAAGGATATGTCTGAAATGTTTCTTAATAACTGTACCACTTTACCCAAATGTAATTCACAAGTAATCTTAAGTATCACTATGGACATGCAAGTATTTTACTTATCTAATGTTTGACAATCAATCAAAATGATTACTCATTTTTATAATTTCTTAAAAACACATGTCCATTGTTTTGTTTTCTTGCTTTATTTTGATATTAAGAAGTGTGTAATTTTTAAATTCCTAATTTCTTGGCTTAGAAGCTCAGACACCCTTTTTTCCTCCATTTTGTTTTAAGGTCTAATACTAACATACACATAGCTTAAAAGTTGATTGTTATAGATCAAGTTTCCCAGGTACACAAGGAACAGGAGTCCTTTCAATATGGAAAGTCAGATCTCATTTTATTTCAAAAAAGTTTTATTATAATTTTAAATATCATATCTGTTAATTTTCCATTTCTTTCCTAGTTCAAGGTATTGAACTAAATATATGGAAAATTATCTTTCTGATCCTTTTTATTTCTCTTATTTCAGTTTCATTTTCTTGGCTCTTTCTATTCTTTATGTCTCTTTTTGAACTTTTGGAATATCTAACTTCCCTGTCTACCTTATAATTCATTTTTCATTTCTGAGATGATTTTTGTATTTTTTCACCATTTACTTTCCTGACTTCAGTCAGCTGCTGTTTCACATATCTTCTTCTTTGTCCATTTCAATTGTGAGTTTTTGAATGTCTAATTCATGGTATCCTTTCATAATGCAATTGCTTGTTTAATATAGGTTATTCATGTTCAGGTGTTTCATTTCCGTTTCCCTGTTTTGTAATTTTTCTTTGATTTCTTTTTATTTGTGCTTTCACTCTCTCTCTCTCTCTCTCTCTCTCTCTGTGTGTGTGTGTGTGTGTGTGTGTGTGTGTGTGTGTAATTTACTAAGAAAGTTTGATTTTAATTTTGTTTTATACTTACTGTAACTTTGTAGAGGTGCTGGCTTCTTTTTCTGTCAAGGATTATTTGTATTGGCTTTTTCAGAATCAGCAATGACAAGTTATCTTGCAACGGAGGGTGAAGGGAGATAAGTTGACTTACTAGGTTTCTCAGTTCAACAGCACCCTCTTCTGTGACTTCAGTGAAATGTAGTTTTTTAAATAAATGGCACTTGTGGTGAGGGGAACAGGATTTGTCTTAAAAAAAAATTACCTTTTTCCCATAGTTCCTTTATCTTCAGCTGCTTTCTTCTTTCCTTTTGCCACCAAGCCTCCAGGGGATACCCCAGTCCCACTCTGTCCTTTGCAAGGTGTCTTCCATTATCCCAGAATTAATGCTTTCCCAAGATTGTCACCTCAAGTCATCCATAAATTCTAAGCTCCATCTTTCAAATTATTATTAGTCAGATCTCTGACAAACCATATATAATTCAGATACAGAAAACCACAAATACTAATTTCAATTTACATGTGGCAGCCATCCTAAAGGAACCTGGAACGTTTCTCCTGTAAAATGGTAAAGTTCTCTTTTCTTA